CATGGACTTCTTCATATTCACGTGTGTAATAGAATTAATGAAAATGCAGCGGTACCTCAAGAACCAAAACTGTTACCATCACCGTGCAAACATTGCCATCAATGTTCACTTTATGACGCCTAACTTGTTCCAGTAATTGCTGCATGCAGTCAGCAGGATGGACAAAATCCCCCTCTGGAGTACCCCAAAAATCAAATGATACTTTCACTTCCTGTTAAAGCAAAGGACTCAATGTTAAACACAATCATGCATTCAAGATTTAAATTTTAAAATTTTGAATTTGCACAGCAATAAGCTAATCATAATCTTTTTAGGTAAACAGATCTAAAAATGAAAACCAGGACAGAGACATCTGATAAGAAACATAACAAAGAAAACCAAAAAATAGAAACAAAGACTAGAAGAACTCATCTGCATATTCAATCATAAAATAAATAATTCCAGAGGAAAAACACAAAAACTTCACCACCACCACCACTCCCACCCCCAAAATTTCTTCCTCAATAAACAAAAAAAACAGCTTCATCCTTGCCGGAGTTTGCAAAGTAAAATCACATTTTTGAGTTACTTATTCATTTTATAAAAAACTACACGGCCACAAACTCCATCTATAGGGCCACAACTGGTTCTGATACCATTAGGTACTTAAAATTCACCTGAATAAACGCCTCTGGTTCAGGGCAGTTCTGTTTCTTTGATAATCTTAGTGTGCACTCTGCCGCTGTTTTGCCATCTCTACGAGCAACAGCCTTAAAAAACTCTAGTAAATTTATCCGGTCACTCTTAGAGAGTTCAGCAGTCATGCCCACATCAAGGAAAATAACATGAGGTTTGGTTTTGAATAGCCGTTTACGAGACGGTTTGCTTCGAGCTACACGGACAAGGATATTTCCAGGATGCATGTCAGCGTGAACAAAGTTGTCTACCTGACAAGGAAAAAGAAGAACATCAGAAAATGGAACTATCCATTTATTTTTCATTTTCATGGCCGCGGGTATACCTTTGCATTGGTGCATTTAGTTTCATCTTAAATTAATAGTGGAAATATGAGACCTGGGTGATCTGGAATCTCCTCATATATAATAGTAATGGAGCAATTTATCTCCAGAAACTGAGATATCATGTTAGTTTCATAACATGCATAAAGAAACTATTATTATTTCTAGATCACTAAATCTAACCTCTCAAATATGGAAAACAGGCAAAAAAATTACCCAACCCTGACCTCCAAGATAGCAGGTACAGTGTTAATCATAAATAATACCCTATGTCATTGAGAATTCAGCCAACAATTTTATTTCACTAAAAATAAGTTTCAAGTTGAAGTGTGCATATATATAGTCAGGAACTCAAATTAAAGTATTATAACATTCATTTCCTTTGACTTTATTTGAATGGAATTCCTAGCTTTAAAGATTCATTATTGACGAGCTATAGCAATTACACCTATTAAAGCAACTATATTGTTAAAAGATCATCAATTCCCAATGAAATATAGCAGTAGCTTGGTGGAAACCTAGTGTTTTTTGAATTATATGAAACCAGTAAGCAAACAGCGAATCCATGGGCATTTGAACCCAAGTATCCAGGAAAAAGCACAATATTTGATGGCATTTTTTATAGAATCTCCTCTTATAAATAGACTCAAAAATCGATCAAAGTTCTTTTTGTATTGAGATATGAATCTACACTAGGTTGTACAAAAAAGTAGTTTTTGCATCAATCCAACTCCAACAAAAGGTTTTTTAAAATAATCAAAATAGAGTTTTAAACGACGCACACAAAAGGGGGTAGAGACCACTCAATAAATGAAATTTATGAAAGATTTTTTCCTTTAAGCTATTTGAGAGTTATCCAACTTGACTTATGAGTATGAATAGTTTCTTTTTCAATCTCGAGAAGGCTATTTTGATAATAATAAGCTTAATTATCTTATCGAGAAGGTCTACAGTTCAAGTCCGTATAGCCCTAGAGCCCTATAAAATAAAATGTATTCAAAATATAAAATATTCTAATTTTCATTTATTCATTTTGTTTGCTTGTAACTAACCGATTGGGTTGGTTCAGTCCGAAATCAAAATTATTCCTATAAAATTACTCACGGGAATCGTTTGAAGCAGAACAAATAATTGAAAGAAAAAGGATTGAAAAAGAAGTGATTTGGACAAAAAGAAATGAAGTGGTTTAGACAAATATTTTATCTCGATGACCTCAAACCAATCAATCGAATATTGATTAATACATAATTGATCGAACACTACTTGTAAATTGCTCTTCTGCTTCTAAACTAAATGCTTCAAATGCTCCTAAAAATTCTTGCTCTCATTGGACCATTTATATCTATATGCATCAAATCACGATTCATGGATTTTTCGGTTCAAGAAAACAAGATAAGAGGATTGAACTGGCTCTTTTTCAAATTCGATAAATGTTAATTGATCGTATATTTCATTATAGTTCTACGATTCAGGATATCCTTTCTAAGAAAATCTAAATAAAAAGGAATAAATGAAATCTTGCTGGTCTTTACTGGGAACTTGAGTAAGGAGAAGATCTTTTTATTTTGGGGTTTTTTAGAATTTGAATGGACTAGTATTGACCTTATCAGTATTTCAAATCAACATATGGAGTCTGTTTAGTCCCTAAATGGGCACCAAAATCAGACCGAACCATTTATCAGGAGTTATATATAGCTCCCGTAGGGCCCCATTATTTCAAATTATGCCCCCGTTTGATCATCATTAAATTAAATTACATTACATTTTTCTCTCTCCTATTTTCAACCACAATCTTCCATAAAATAATATTACACGTAAATCGAAAAAAAAATCTTCTTTTTCAACTACTCATTTTTCTAAAAAATATTATTCCCCCCATTTTCATTTTCAGGTAATGGGGCTCAAACGGGGGCTATAATTTTCTCTCTTATTTTCAACCACATAATCTTTCATAAAATAATATTACACGTAAATCGAAAACTTTTCATTCTTTTTCAACCATACATTTTTCAAAAAAGTACCATTCCAAAAATTATAAATTAGAATAATGGGGGCCAAATGAGGCCATATATATATATATATATATATATCCTCAAGCAAAAAAATTGGGTATTTTAGACTACAGACACTGTACAACAATGTAAATATTACCAACTTCTTTATAAGAGCAAACACTTAACCTAGCAAATGTTTGAGCCCCATTATAAAAAAAAATTCATTTTCCCCAAACTCATTTTCAACCATACATTTTTCCAATAAAATAATTTTACACTTGTGCTCGTTGCGAGACTTAATCCAACACCTTACGGCACGAGCTGACGACAACCATGCACCACCTGTGTCCGCGTTCTCGAAGGCTAAACCTAAAATATTTTGTTGCTTTATAAGCACATATTCTCGGAAAAAAAAATTTTGATTGATCAAATATTTTATCACATTCTCCGGAAAAAAAA